ACAACATACCCAGTATTATCCCACACCGTGGGGTCTGGGGAGGGTAGTGTGTACGCAGACCTTGCCCCTACCTTGTAAGGATAGAGAGGTTGTTTCCAATAGACCCTCAGCTTAGGAAACCATAAGCACCACAATAATGAAAATATAGACAAGAAGGGACAGGAAAGCATAAGCACCACAATTTAGAAAACCATGCCAATGCTAGACAAGAGAGGATTGGTCTAGTTGGGGGACCCTCCACCTCCAACTATGAGTCCGAAGGTTCATTTTTTGGTGCCTTTGGCAAGAAAGGAATCACATATGTTTTTGATGGCATTTCAACTCCAATCCATGCTCTTAAAGCTAAATGTCTTGTGTATCTATTTAGTTGGAGTACTCTAGGCCCTGTAAATAATGTTATTCCCCTTCTAGATTCATTGGCTCACTTACTCTAATTTAGTCCCTTTCTACTTTTGATTCTTTTGGTTAGCTCCCTGGGCAGGTTTTTGTTATATTGTAATGGAGCTGACATTGATCCTTTTTGTAACTTTGCATCTCCTTGATGCTTGCAATGAAGCAACTTATTTCATCTCATTAAAAATGAGTTCGGAGGTTGGATCCACAGCAAAGTTTAGGAGGGGTGGGTTTACTATGTCAGAGAAGAAAGCCATATTGATGCTAATGCAATGATAAGAGTTTGTTTATCACAAGAGACCACAAAACTCAATAACTCATCTCTATATATGTTTTTGGACAGATCTCAATGGTGTAGAGCTGCAGATGGTTTGCTTTACTCTAAAACAAATAAAAGCCGCCACTAAAAACTTTGATGCTTCAAACAAGATTGGAGAAGGTGGTTTTGGTCCAGTCTATAAGGTATGCTTATAATTGGAAGACTAGTGATTGTTCTTTTACCTGGACTCCACTTCATGATGCACCTCTGCCTACAAGACTTGGTGCTGTTTCCAGAAACATGTAAACCTTCAAAATTCCATTAACCCAACGCTTCTGGGGCTGAGCAAGGGCATACATATGTGGCTAAAAATTCATCTGCCTTTAGCTAGTTTACACTGGTTTGATTTTCTTAACCTGTGGAACCTAATGAATGGATCTGGTGTAGGGTCAATTACATGATGGTACGTTAGTAGCAGTGAAGCAGCTCTCCTCTCAATCAAAGCAAGGCAACCGTGAATTCTTGAATGAGATTAGTACGATTTCCTGTTTGCAACACCCGAATCTTGTTAAGCTTCATGGGTGCTGTATTGAAGCAGATCAGTTACTGCTTGTATATGAATACTTGGATAACAATAGCCTTGCTGGCGCTTTGTTTGGTAAG